GGGCGGCGCGGCTGTCGCGGCGGGGGTCAGGCCGGGAGACGCTTTTCTTTCCCCCCCCTCGGAAAGGGGGGAAAACGCGGGGGTCAAGGGCCCCTGAGGCCTCGCGTATTTCGTAGAATTATAAAATCATAGAATACCAGGTGGGAAGGGACCACAGGGATCATCCAGTCCAACCTCTGCTTCTTTTTCAGAAGCCAGTTTGGGAGGTGTTTGTTAAAACCGAGAAAAGTTGGGGTTTCTGCATTATGAAGGGAAATAGGTAGTCGCTTTTCTCAGTTCCCTCACAGACTGCACTGAGTCCGTGCTGTGGACAGTGACTGAATGTCTGAATTGTGTGCACAGCTCCTGCTCAGACGTTGGTGGGGTTGAGAACGACAGTGCTGTTGACCCTGATCCTGCTCTTTTGTCAGATTTGGAGCTGTTCAGGGCCAGCACTTTCTATGCAGTGCTCGCTTGCCCGTCCCTCTCCTGCCTCGGCTGTGACAGGAGCAGATGGAGGATCACCGAGTGCTGCTGGCTGTGATGATTTATGTGATTTGGGGAAAGGCAAACAAATCTCAGCAAGGCTCTGTTGGATGTGACCAGTTCTCTTTTGCTCGTTGCTATCACTTGAGGGACTAGCAAGAGTTTGAACTTTGAACCCCTTCTCTTTTAGCAGATAGCAATACTCTCAAGCAGCCTCTCTGTTTAACATTAATAAGACCGGTCCCACACATTAAGAAGGAATTCTTAGAGCTGTAACTGAATATTGCCTTGGCCTGCTGGCATTGGCGAGGAGCGCATGATGATGTGGTGGATGCCTGTGGTTGTGTCAGAGTTATTCAGAGTACTAGGTTGTAGCTGGCAGAAGAAGAGAGGGGGAATCTGGTTTTGCTTTTTGGTTATCGTCTCAATTGCACTGTTTGCCCTTCCAGATAACAAGCTACTGGAGAAGTCAGACCTTCATGCGGTGCTGGCTGATAAGCTGCAAGCAGAAAAATATGACATGCAGAGCAGACACGAGATCAGGTATTTGAAGTTCCTTTTCTGTCAGTCAGCTGCCTGTCGTGCACACTGTCACCTAAACCGCGTATTACACAAACAGCCTCTAGGTTACTGCAGTAACTTGGAGTCAGACAAGCTGGGAAATCTATTGAACTTTAAATTATAACTGACTCTAAGCATGTGGTTAGGTTACAGTGTGTTTACAGTAAACAGGGCAGAAAGATCTGACCGAGTTTTGGACAGAAATTAAATTATCACAAACTCAGGGTGTGGAGGTGCACTAGAATGAGTTTCTGCTTGTGATCTGTTTACCTCATGATGCTTGTAATGCTTGCCTGGTGTTAGTTTCTAACAACACTTGAAATGGTTTGATCTCGTTGCAGTGCAGGCAGAAACCCACATCTTGGTTTCTTTCAGTTTGTGTTATCGTGGAAGAAATCATGATTGCCAAATGTCAGTCCTAAACAAGCACCGTATGCTAACAAGAAGGTGTCTGCTGCCTGCTTCTAGCAGGGCTTTTTCAGGAAACTTCTTCTCTCACCTGGTAATAGCATTCCAGTGCTGCAGGGAGGGGTTGTGCTGCTTATTCTGTTGGCATTGGAATCCACAGCAAACCAGTGTGTTACTGGTGTGTGCTTTGGCATGTAAATCCCAGCAGGTAAAGGCTGTTGGGTTCTGCTCTTGGGGTAACTGAGGAAAAGGCAGTGCTAGGTAGCTCAGAATTTCCCGCTTCTGTAGATGTTGCTGCTTCTGTTGAAGCTCTTTTTGCTGTGTAACGCAAAGCTGTACGTTTGTGTCTAATTGGGCTACAAAATAAACAAGTATAGTTAAGGCTATTGTGTGCTGTTACTCATAAGGAGAGGAGGAACTCCTGAATTTGCAGGAACTGCAGGTAAAATGTCAGCATTTGGCCAGCAGGCTGGAGCTGACGCTCATGTGAGAGTTCCCAGAAGCTTTCTTGTGACTGCAGTTGTCTCAAACCGTGGGAATCTGACCCTGGTTGAACACCTGCTCTGAGAGATGAGGCTGGAGAAGATGAGCATGGAAAGAACTGCACAGAAGCAGTCTCCTCAAAGTAAATTCTGAGCTAAACTCTGGTCCTGGCCTCTGTATATGACAGTTTTTGGAAACAGAATGAATTCCCTCATCGTAGATAGCTGAGGAAAATGGCTTTTCCTTACCTTAAGGCCAAGGCAAGAATACCCCAAAACTTTCACGTAAGAAGCAGCTAGAACATAGTTAACATAATAAACCCGAGGGCCTGGGACTATACCCTTAGTTCCCTGGCTTTGGATTCTGTACTCTCTATTATGCCCTCTCTGCACACCTAGCATCTTCAGGGTCCACCAGCTCACTCCAAACCAAATTGGAATTGGTAGAATATTTGTAATTCTTCTAGAATTTGGGGACTGTACTCGTTTGCCCTCATGGTAATTTAGGCAGAGGCTGGTTATCTTTCATTGGAGTTTGAATTCTGGTTTAGAAATGGACAAAAAGGTAAATTGAGTCCTCAGTAAACTTAATTTTCCGGTACTACATGATGGTGTTTAGGTTGGTGAGAAGCGTGTTGTGGTTTGGTTTGTTGTGAATGACCTGTATCTCTGATGTGGTGTAGAAAACCCAAGGGAGGCGATGTCTTGATGCTCACTGGCCAAGGCACAGGAGCGATTGGACTCCAGTTTGTGACTCCTCTTCCTCTCTCCTGTTCCAGTCCAGGACACGATGGCACCTGGAATGATGCTCAGCTGCAGGAGCTGGCACAGCTGAAGATAAAGCATCAGGAGGAGCTGACAGAGCTGCATAAGAAACGTGGCGAGGTTAGAAAATCCTGGGTTCTGTGTGGTCCATACGTAGCCCTTTGTGAGCACCACCTCAGTTTGACCAAGCTTATTCATCATAATTTCTTCAGAATTTCACGTGCAGCCTTGTTGAGCTCTCCATGTTGATGGTCAAAATCAACCAGAGATGGTTGGTCTTTAAAACTGACAGCCAGGAAAGAAGAGCTTACACTGTCAGTGTAGCATGATTTCTAAAGAGTGCTTAATTTTGTGTCTCATGAATAGACTTATGAATAGGTTTTTAACTCTAATTATTAGAGGAGGAAGGAATTGATCCAGTTTAGAGTTGCATACGACCACTAGATCTACACTGAAAAGACTTTGAGGGCATAGGTGGTTTTATTTGACAGGACCACTGCTGTAAAAGAATAGAAAAATAAGCTTAAACAGAGGTTGAAAGTGCCTGAAAAGGGCGTCCTGGTTCTGCCACGTAGATGCAGCAGGGAGTCCTGGAAGCTCTGAGATTTTTTAATGTTTTAATGGGAAGATGGGGATGCTTCGTCAGCATAAGTGGGTTTTTAGAAACCACAGCAGTGGATTGAATGAGTCCAGGAGTCAGTGCCTGAGTGGTGCTGCAGGCTTTGATAGGGAGAAGGTGGGAGTGACGTTTTTGAAAGTGAGTTCCCTGATTTAATGGTGTGTGTAACAGGGACAGTAAGCACATCTTTTTAGAAAGCTGTGAAGGAAGACCTGCAAGGTATCTTCCTGCCTGTGCTGTTAGCTTGGTCTGTACTCCAGCTGGTTGCTGCTCGGTGTGTGCTGTCCAGGTGGTATCCCTGCATTTTGTAATGTGATTTTCTCCTCTCCTTAGCTGGCCCAGTCCGTGATTGATCTGAATAACCAAATGCAGCAGAAGGACAAAGAGATGCAAATGAATGAAGCAAAGTGAGTAGGAACTGTTTCGCCTGCGCGGTTGGTATGAGATCAAGATTTCTGGCTATTTATTGTGTTAGTGTTCTCTAGGAATCTTCGCTATAGCTAAAAATGCCTCTGTTAGGCATTGTACAAGTAGCACGGTGGTGGATGATGCAGATCCCAGAGGAGACCCTCATGGTTCTGTGTACTTTGTTGCCGTTCCAGGATTGCAGAGTATTTGCAGAAGATCTCTGAGCTGGAAACAGAGTGCCAGGAATTGCGGAGCAAACTGCAAGACCTCGAGCGAGCCAATCAGACCCTGAAAGATGAATACGATGCCCTCCAGATCACCTTTAATGCCTTGGAGGAGAAACTGAGGAAAACTACCGAAGACAACCAGGAGCTGGTCTCGCGTTGGATGGCAGAGAAAGCACAAGAAGCCAATCGTTTGAATGCGGAAAATGAAAAGGATTCAAGGTGAGACTGATGACCTCTGTGTGATGAGTTACTTCCCAGTGTATTTTTGAATCCTTGTGAGTGCAGAGGATAAAACCAGGTCTAGTTTGATCTCAGATCTCTGTGTTCTCGCACAACACAATGAGAGTCCAGAACTTCACGGTCTTCTTTTGTCTGGCACAGATGCTCTGTGGAAACATTCCTCTTTCAAATGAATAAGATGTTGTTTTGTTTCTTGAGCAACATTTAACTATGACCTGAGCATCATAAATCACATAAAAACTGTGGGTTTTTTGCCGGTATTAGATTGGACTTCTCTTGTTCCTGTTGCATCTCGGTACTACTCCTAGTTTTGTCCTTTTTAAACTGAAATTGGCTAAGCGTACTTTGCTTTCTGCTAAAAGGAGAAGCTGCCATGAGACTGAGCCATGTGTAACTTGCAAAAATAAGTTTGTGCTTTTTTCTGCCTTGCAAAATAAGAATTTTTCTTCTGAATTGCTTCAGCTTACTTCCCAGCTAACCACAGATGGACACTAGGAGCCATAGGACAAGTCTCTCAGTATTGGACAGTTGGGTAACCTCTTTCCTAACATAGTCATTGTTTTTGCAGGTCTTTGTACTCCAAGCAAGTCTGAATTTGTGTGGGTCATACAGGGCCATGGGTACACTTACACTTTGCCTTATTGCCCCGCTCAGTTGATCTTGTCCTTTGCTGTCCACAGTAAGGAAATGACCTCTTCTGCGCTGTCTTGAAAAGCAGGATAACATCAGGGCAGTGGTTGGATTTTTTCTGAAATCTTTTTGAATCCAAACTCTGCAGGGTGACCTCTGGAATGGGATTAAGGACTTGTGTGTGCTGTGCTGGGTTTTGTTTGTTTGTTTGTTAAATACCAGTACTTTCCTTTTCCTAGGAGACGACAAGCCAGGCTGCAGAAGGAGCTAGCAGAAGCTGCCAAAGAACCCCTGCCTGTTGAACCGTAAGCAGTCTTGATTTACAGAGGCTCCTTCATCTCTTCATGCTTCAGTTTTGTGCAGATGCATGACAAATGGTATCTTTGTTATTTCTAAATTTGGTGTTGTAGAGGAGTGCTTAAACTGTTGTGTAAAGTAAAAAATGTGCAGTAGCTTTCCCTTACTGAACTTCCAGAAGAAGGAGCTCTGTTATGACTCAAAGTAGATCCTTGGACTGAAAGTCCTAAGAATGGTTCATAGAGTGATTATATGTACTTATCTCCACGTAAAAACACTTGTTATCTGGTGCCTTTGGTCTTCAGAATAGTTCTTCAGTCATGAAGCAATAAGCTCTGGAGGTGCCTGCATTTTTGAGTGTTAGACTACAAATATGTCCAAGGATTTCCTGTAGGAACAGGTACTGAATGAGTTAATATGGATGAGAAGATACTGATAATTTCTATACTGGGAGAGATTTATTCTGTAGGAAGAACCAGCTAGATGTGGAGTTACTTTTCCTGGCCAGCCAGAGAGAAATATCTCTAGTGTCTTGTTCTTTTCACTGCTGGGTTTGCTCCTGGGCGGTATTTAATCGGCTGACTGAAGCGAGCAGTGGATGGTGTAGGTGCTTTGCACCAGGTTGATAAGGTTAAGGGCACTTGTTTTTGCCAAGGGCAGGAAAACGGCACCTGCTGTGTTGTTACTGGAAAGCACTGAGACAGCCTTCAGCGTGCAGGCTTTTCCTTGATATCTGTTCTCTTTGTATTAGCACCACATCATCATGTTGGGTCTCTGTGCTGCATGGCCTTGCACAGGGTAGGAGTACTGCATCTGCTCTGAAGCAGGCCCATGCCACAGTCTGGGGTAGGTAGGAAGGACACACAAAAACAGTATGAGACAGCTTTTGTAGCATTTGAGAAGGAAATGGGTACTGCAGTTAGCAATGCAGCAGTTAGAATAACAATGCTAGTTAGAACTAGGTAGCTTTTCTTTTATAGAACTGTTGAAATGCTGCCGTTCCCTGAGCTATTGAGGGCTGACTCTCCATGACCAGATCACCGCTCACCTCAGTTTTCCCAGCTCGTAAGAATAGCGATAGCCCTTTTCTCCAAATTACCTGATGTGAACACACACAGTATCTTAGAATATTGAACTCTTCAATAAATAATGTCGCACTGAGAGGGGAAACGTGCCTGTAATATCTGTGGCTGCTTTCCCTGTTAAGCTTCTTCCTCTCCATTATCCAAAGTGGGACCTTCGTATCGTAGAGCTGAACTCAGAGGTAGCTGTAGCACAACAGCTTGGATATTTTACTTCTTGTGGTGGGGATGATGGTCTTGGTATTTCATAAATAATTGGATATGATGCACTGAGAAGTTGAAAAGAGAGCCCGTTTAAAAAAAAAATTAGAAAATAATTGCTTCTGTGAATTCCTCAAACTCTGCTTCACAGATGTTTTTAATTCGTATTTGACTTGGTAATTTTAGAGGCTTTGTGTTGTGTAAGTGTGCTGCTCGCTGAAGGGGAAAACTGCAACATTTCGAGGAGCGTGCACTGATGTTTGTACTCGCTTCAGAAATATCTGAAGTTAACACAAGGGGTTTTTGCTGCGTGCAATTTTAATAGTTCAAACTTTAGATTTTAAAAAAGAAACCAGCAGAACTTGGTAGTGTTTTATTGCAATGTCAGCCTGATACTTTCAATCAGAGTATGGACTTTTCCATAGCCTTTTCACATACACTGTCCTCCAAAATCTTAGAACTTCAAGTGCAGCTATAATCTGAAAAGAGATTAAAAATGCTCCTATCCTCTTCATTTTTTTTTTTTTGCAGCTGAGCGTTATCTGATGGCAGGAATTGGTTCATTCCTACTTAAGAGCAGAATTTAAACTTCCCGTTCAGTCAAATGCCATCAGGTTGATAGAGCGTGTTTAAAAATAGTTTGTTCTGCAGAATCAGCAGTGGAGGAAAGATGGTCACTGGGGGAAAACAGCAGGCTGTCAGAGCCCATGGTGACTAATGGAGAGAAGGCTTGTAGCGTGAGCTGAGCAGTTCAGCTGGATTCACTTGTGGTGTATGTATGGGATCCTCACACTTGTGGTGGTTGTACACCAACACCTCAATGAGGTGTCCCAAAACACCCCTCGTACATAACGAAGCAGCACCTGAACTACAGCAGTGTAGAAAGTATCGGATGCCTTCAGTGTGGATGAAGAGCAAACATTCAAGCTCTGGTGCTTTGTTTTTTTAATAGTTCCTTGTTCTGGAACAGCAGGAAAGGTGCTGTGAAAGTGGATGGCAATAACTCGTGTCTCTGCTGTTCTTTGGCTGTTTCACAAATGCAGTTCACGCTGTAGCAAAGTCAGTAGCGACAGGTCCTTGTAACGCTGTATGCAGTGCTGCAACTCACCATCAGTGTGGGGTGGTAGAGCAGCCAGCCCTGTTGTCAGTGAAGAGGGAAAAAACCCCAAAATGAAGCTGCATGGCCGTGTTCTCAGCCACTGGATGTTGAACGTAGGATCTCTGGCAGCGACTGCCAGAGCAGGGTTTGCGTTGTCTGGATCTACCCGTGTGTTACGACAGCTGAGCCCGCCCAGAGGTGGGGTGGGTGCAGGCTGACAGACCCTGGAGCAGTGTTGTCCGTTCGGTTCATGTCCATCGGTGGGTGCTTTCCCCAGGGAGCTGTTTCTGACTGAAAAGGAGGTGTGTTCTCTCACTCCAGCAGGGATGACGATATTGAAGTGCTTGCAGACGAAACCTCTGACACAGCCGAGGAGACCTCTCCGGTGCGAGCCATCAGCCGAACGTCCAGGTTTGTAGACCGAGAGGGGTTTGTGTCGTGTCATTGAGGAGGAACAAGGGCTGTGAGAGTTGAAACAACTTTGGGAATGTTACGTACAGGTTTTACTTGCTGTTAGCTGGGACGCAGTGTAGTACTTCCACCAGAGCAGATGAAGCTCATGTGCTGTGTTCTGTTACCATGCTCTAGATACGCTCTGGTTTTCCTTTGCTGTTTGAAATAAATTGAACTAATGCCTGAAAAATCTGTCTCTAATCTTAAAAACAGAGGCTTAAAAGCAAAGTAGACAACAAAATGGGTATTGCAGTGCCTGTTGTGTCATATCTCTGTTACTATACAGGCTAGCAGCATGATTTTACAAATAGCTGCACCTTTTGATTTACCTGAAATGCTGAAAATATCTTGACTGAGATGAAATAGCAGTGAGTGGAAAGTAAGAGGTGGTTACATGAGCATGGATTTAGTTGAAACTTCAGACTTGGCAGACTATTCTGTCTAAACCCAGTAATTCACAGGGTGGAAGCTGAGGGAAATGGAAGAAACCTGACTCACAGATGATGCTCTGAGTTGTAGTTACTGGTGGCTTTTGAACTGCTGCCTGCCTTTGGTGCTTCTGTCTTTGGATGGGGTCTGCAGGGGAGGGAGTCTTTCCAGAGACTTGTTGCTATGAAATGTGTTTGTATTGATCTTTGTGTGGAGAAGCTACTCACAAGGTTTAAACCTGTCCTCCCCTCCTTCAGTAAGCGACTCTCCCAGCCAGCTGGAGGCCTTCTGGACTCTATCACTAATATCTTTGGGTAGGTTAGACCACTTTCACCTCTTTGTTTTGTGTATTGGTTTCAATGTACACCAAAATCTGGGTAATGCAGGGAATACGAACGAGAAATTTCGGCCTTTCTTCTAGCTTCTGCCTTTCTTTTTTTTTTCTTTTTCGTTCTCCTCAACTTCCTGTTTCTTCCATCTTGCCGTGTGCTGACCTCTGACCTTTCCCTCCAGTCTGTCTGAGTCTCCCCTTTTGGGACATCAGTCTGCTGATGCTGCCAGGTGACAACATTATCTGCTCTTAGTCCAGCATGTGAATGTGTTCCAGTGAAGTAACGTGGCACCCAGCTGCATTATCCCGATGAGATTTCAGATATTGAAAACACGGGCTAGAAACTGCAGGCAGAGAGGCAACGAGCCCCTCTTTGTGGAGAGAATACGTGGGGTTTGCTCTTACTTTCCACTGCACTTTGCTCCTTTAATAGGGTTGTTTAAAATAAGTCCCTGGGTTCTGCACTTAGTGCCCAGAGTGGAGTCAGTTTTAAGTCCAGCTCTGCATTGAGTGGATGTCTTTGCTTAAATGCTGCAGCCAGAGCTGCTGAAGGGAGCATTTTGCTGCCTGGAATGTAGTGCTGCAATGGTGTTGGGTCTCCCTAGATGTAGTGTTAGAGCTGCAGTCTCTCCAGCTGCAATCACTCCCGTGTTTCTCTTTCCTGTTAAAAAGAAATGCTCCAAAATGAGGTCAGTCATGAGTTCAGGAGGCTTATCTGGTGTGTTATGAAATATCTAAAGCCACAAGTGGATGTAGTGCTATGTGACAAATGTAGTTTTTGAAAGATGGGGTAGAAGACAGTTTAAACTCCTTCCCCTGTTTGTTAATCGCTGTACAGTGTAGTTAAGTGACATGTGCAGGTCTGGATGAATTCAAGAAAAGCAGCATTCATTTCTCATGTTAAAATATTTCTGCTTTGTTTCGTCTCAGGAGGCGTTCTCTGTCCTCGTTCCCTGCTCCCCAGGATAACGTGGAGCCACATCCAGGTGCCAGTAAAGAAGTGAGAGTGCCCACTACTGCCATTTGTGTCTTTGTAAGTAGAGGAGGAGTTCTCGTTTTTACCACTGCTTTGACTGTCTTTGGAGGAGGTGAATCCCATCTGTGTGGGAAATGGTCTCCTCAGACCCTTTCTATTAGCACTGCCGAACAAGAAGGAGTTCTTGATTTGGTAGCATAGCTCATCCCGTTTATTTCTGAGCCCAAATGCCTCAAAGAGTCAATGTGCTTGGTGTCTGTCTTGCTGAGGTCGATGATGATGAGTAAAAGGTCTGAGAGCACAGGGGAATTGCACTCCATTACCCTCCTGGCTCCCAGCAGTCCCTGCTCTGTCATGCCGTAGTAGAGCTATGATCGAGGAAGGGATTGCTGATAGTTTGGGATTAATTCAGTTCCAGTTCTCCACAGTGAAGGGAGTTGTGGTGCTGAATGTCATCCGACAGGGCTGGTCAAGAGGAGCTTGTGGTAGTGGAGTGTCTTCATTTGTTGTGTGTGATCTCAAGTTTTCAAGCTGAGACCTCCTGTGTGCGTTGTTTGGCCCCACAAGGGCAAACTTAAGTTTCTGTGAAGGGCATTGCCTTCTGAATGAAAGATACTGTGGTGATCTGTCTTGTAACGCAGCTCTTGAGCTTTCTCAGACACTCCAATTCCTGATACGGGTATCTTATGGATATGAAATGACTCATGTTTTTCATCCAGAGGATGTGTGTTCCTAGCCTGCCCTGGTACCATCGGAGAAGATGGGGTGGAGGGAGTAGCAGTGTTACCTTAAGTGAGAACAGGGTCATAACATGAGTGACAGCCTTGAGCTGGAACATCAGAGTAGGTGTTCATGGCTTTGGTGTGTGACTAATTTAATCATGGAAGGTATTGCAAAGCTATATACGTGATGTTTTCATGAACCATGCGAGAGGTGCTGGTGTTTTCCTCTTTCTCTTCATCTTCTGTAATGTCATCTGAACGTTCAAGAGCAGTGCAGCCTGTTTCGCCCACACAGGGGGGCAAACCCCAGTAGACTGTGGTGACCCCTGGTCTTAGCAATGCGTGTGTTCCTTCCAGAGATGATCTGGGTTATGGTTTAGCTTGTGTTTGGAGCCCAGGTCCAGCAGAGCATGCCAGGAATGAATGCAAGCACTGCCAGAGGTTGGGCAGATACAGGGAGCAGTCTGGCCTCGCTTCTGGAGATGAGTAGAGCAGGGCTGGGAAGGAGGACAAGGTGGTCACTTCAGCCATAGCTCTTGGGCAGAGCTTCTAGGCAAGATTTCTGACCAGTTTTGTTCTGAGTGGCCCTTCTGCACTTGTAGGAAGACCAGATTTGAAGTGGGATGATCCCACATGAGCTGGCAGACCAAGTTCAAGCAACAGGTTCCATAAAAAACAGCTTTCCAGGAAAACTGATTTTGAAAGAGCAGTTACTGAAAATACTTTAGAAGAAGTGCAGAAAATGGACTAAGAATGTGATACTGACACTGTGGGTATAAAATAGTGGTATATATAAGAATAGTGTGGATATGAAGTAGTATAAAGCTGTGAAACTGCCAGGAGGGGGAAAGGAAGGAATCTTAACATTCTCATAGGTGTTCAGAGGTGAAGAATCCCCATTGAGCAGCCAACTCAAGCATCAGAACATGGCCCCAGGAGAGAGCAGGGGCGTCACTGCACCTGCAGACAGGAACCACGGCTGAAGGGTGGGCTCTGTGAGAGAAGGTGCTGCTCAGGTCACAGCTGTGCTGGGGCAACGTGATCACCAACAGAAAGCAGCACTGCCACCAGTGCATTGATGGGTTATGCTGTTTTCTAGCAGGCTTTCCTAACCCAAGCCTGGCTTGGGTGTTCTGTGGTTGCATGTTTGGATCATGTTCCAAGGCTGGCTCTTGGTGGAGAAATGAAAAGTTAGTTTCCTTCTGCAGCAAATTGCCCGTTACTGTTTCCTGGCCTTTCCTGACTTTGTTCTGTTTGGTGTAACTTAAAAGCCTTACCTTATCAAGCCTAACCATGTGAAGCACTGTAAGACTTCTGGCAGTTGATTATCACTGCTGAGTCCTTGCTGTGTTTTTGTTTGTGCTTTTTTATCCTTCAGATAAGGATCTGTTTGTACACCATCAACCACAGTGAAGTTTCACTCTGTGGCTTAGTGTCCTGTATACTGCTGAAAGATCTGCAGCTGTGACTCTGTATAACCTGTAAATTCTCCAGCTTTCTGTGGGTTTGTGGGTCCCTGCTAATTCCAGTTTGGGGGGGCTGTTCTGTTCCTTCCCCTCCTCAGGATGCGCACGATGGGGAGGTGAACGCAGTGCAGTTCAGCCCTGGCTCCCGGTTACTCGCGACAGGAGGCATGGACCGGAGGGTGAAGCTTTGGGAAGTCCTGGGAGGTAAATGGTTTTGCTTTGGAGTATGGGGGGATGCTAAACAAACTCCTCATATTTCACTTTGTATCAGTTTCTGTTCTAATCCATCACTTAAGTTCTGTTTTTCTCTGTGCAGATAGGTGCGAGCCCAAAGGGTCCCTCTCTGGCAGTAATGCTGGGATCACAAGCATAGAGTTTGATAGTGCTGTAAGTATCTGCAATATCCACTGTTTGTGACTGGGAATAAATTAACTGAATTATGTTGCGCTCTGCTATCGATTTCCATTCTGACACTTTGAAAAGTTACCTAAGAAATGAGTAAAAATACTCACGAGAGTGACTGCAAATAGTTAAAAATGGTACAAAAGATCTTGATTTAATGCGTGGCAGTCTGTAGTTCTTATCTTTGCTTTACAATTCAGAAGATGATATTCAGCTCGGGTATTGGCTGTTACAAGATACTATGATAAAATCACAATAAAATACACTCGGTTTTGTCTAAAGTAAGAAATTGGTCTTCAGCTTCACACTAAAGCTGGCACAACAGCACGAAAGCAGCAAATCCACCCAGGCTTGATTCCTGTGGAAGTCATTTCCACAGGCGAGGTCTGTGATGAGCAGTAAAAGGTCTGACGGTCCCAGGACTTGTACTTCCACGGCCTTTTCTCCCAGCAGTTGCTCCCCAGTCCCAGCACAGCAATGGTGTGGCTGGGGGAGCGTTTGCTGACAGCTGGTGATGGGTTCAGTTCATGTCAGCCTGAAGTGCTGGAGACATGGCTGGGAGCAGCATCCAACAGTCCTGCTTGAAGGAGTTTGGGGTCTTGGATGGCTATAACTGGACACATGATCTGACTTTTCTGCTGAGACCTCTCCCGTAACACAGTGCTTTGCTGCAGCAGACCAAAGCTGACTTTATTTCTTCTGTTTGCTGATTCTCTGTGCTAAACTTCGCTGATACTCACCCAAAAGGATGCTGCCGTTAGACACCGAGCAGCTCAATAGGGATTTGCTGGTGCTGTTAATCTGTAGGAGAAACTAGTCCTGCTTTTGGCAAGTCGCTTCGGCGCTTTTGAAGTGAGATGCTAAGGGGCTTTAAGGATTCATGAAAGTCTTTGGAGTTGGACAGGATGGATCTTGTGTTGTCCATTCTCCATCGTGAGTGACTTGGAGGAACCCTGAGCCTAAAGCCACGAACAAGTCAGTTCACCTCTCTTCAGACAGATGGAGGTTTTGGAATCAGTTTAAAATGTTAGGGTTGTGATACAAGTGGCGAGAATTGGGCTGGTTCCACTCCGAGGCCTATCTGAGCGGGGGGGGAGATGATGGAGGTGTTTTCACTCTGAAAAATGAAAACGGAGGAGAAAAAACGCAGACCACAACAGATGAGGGTAGAGTGGAGTCTGGTTCTTCCCTGCAGCAGCTGGGGGCAGAAGGGAGAGGAGAACGTCCTTTCTGATCTGGTTCTTGTTATTTGTTTTATCTGTGGTCATGGTTCTACAAATCACTCACATTTTGATGAGAAGAAAAAGCCTTTTGGGAAGTTGTTCCCCTGGATTTCCTGCACTGGTATGTGCTGCTGGGTTTTGGGGTTTAGGTTTGGTTTGGTGTTTTTTTTCCCTTGGCAATATAGCACTAATATGGCTTTAATGATTTCTTGGAAGTACTTTTGAGTTTAATTTACAGAATTAGTTTCCAATTGCTCTTGTGTTCACAGGGCTCTTACCTCTTAGCGGCTTCAAATGACTTTGCCAGCAGAATCTGGACGGTTGATGACAATCGATTACGGGTGAGTTCCTTGGAGGCAAAGCCATGCTCGGGCTGTTTCTGTCCTGTGTTTTTGGTTTTACCTAATGGGGACATGGCAGTTCTGAAAGTAGCACATTTACAGACACTTCCAATGATTTTTTTGTTAACATGATCTTTATTTCTCCTAAGGGCCTTCACGGTAAGGCCTAAAATACGGTATAGGTCTTCCTGCCTTGCAGGAAACTCCAGTTACTGCCTGTTTTCACAGTTCTCCTGCTAGCAAAATCCTGTCACATAAACCCAGTAGACTTCTGCATCCCCCTCTGGAAATTGTAATGCTGCTTCTGGTTTATGGAGAACCACTTCAGTGTTTTAGCCTGAATCCAAGGAGGGGTCTGCAGAAGACAGAGCCATTTTTTTGAAGTCAGGAGCATTTCTTGAAGATAAGTCCTTTCCTTAGCTGTTCAAAGGCAGCAAGCCTGTAAGCACTGAGCTTTATTCTCAATGTCATTTGAAAGGTTCCTCCTCTCCTCCCAACGCCTTTATACTCGAGTTCTTCTCCGACACTTGGCTCTAGTTGAAAGAAGGATTAATCTTTCACCAAAAGAAAAGTTTCTTTTCAGCTTTGTAAGAGTTTTTCCTGTTGTCATTCCTACCTATGCTTTTCCTAAACTTTCTATGTTGGGAAGATGCTGCTTTGATGCTCTGAGTCTCCAGCTGCATTGTAATTCCCTGGGTAGTTCTCAGTGTGGAGATACCAGGTCTCATTTAGGAAAGTGAAGAGTATTGGTTCTTTTGTAGCTCCTGTTGGGCTGCAAAACCTCCTATTGGGTGTGGATTACAGCAAATCAAAGCTTGGTGATCCATTCTTCCCGAGTTCCTGTTGTGTAGCAGGTTTACTTTTTTCCCCAAACCTTGCTCCCATTCCTTTCCGTTCTTAAGGGTTTTTCTGTTGTGTTTCCCGAGCCTAGATGGCTTTGTGTAATTTGATAGTCTTTGAGTAGTTAAAAATGTAACTAGATGCCACAGATTTCTTATTTTTCACAATTCTTATTTCAGTTATTCGTGATCTGTTTTGTGACTTAGTGTGTAAGTATTCAGCAATGTGAAGTGAATGTGGTGAAGCTGCAGCCAGTGGTGAGCAGTGTCTCCCAGCTGCATGAACTCGATGGTATTCACCACTCCTCAGTATCAGTCTGTTTAACTAGCATAATTCATTTATTTTTCTCCACGCAATGAAGTAGACATGCAAATGATGATGGAAGGCTGACTTCGAGTAGTTAAATGGCAGAACTAGGGAGCAGGTCCAAACTGCAGCTTTACCATGCGCATCTCTTGTCCTCAGCACACCCTGACGGGTCACAGCGGGAAGGTCCTGTCAGCCAAGTTCCTGCTGGACAACGCACGCATCGTTTCGGGAAGCCACGACCGGACCCTCAAGCTCTGGGACCTCCGCAGCAAAGTTTGTAAGGAAACCCAGCTTCTGTCCTTCGTCCACGTTCTGTGTGTCTGCTGAGTGTAACTGAAAGCCTGACATCAGCCAGGTTATTTCATCTTCCTGCAGTCTAAAATAGCAAAATCTAGCAGCTGTGCCATCTTCTGTTGTTATGGAAGTAATCGGATTCTTTCTGCCTGTTACCTGAAATAGGAGTAAGAAATCGTGCGTATGCAGGAAGGGCTGTTAATGCTATTACGTGAACAGCAGCTGTGTTATGTGAGCATCCCTTGTTTACGGGTTGGGGAGTGGGTATTTCGGCCTTCCATTAAAATCTTGGAGCCAGGTCAGTCTTTAACCCTGAGGTGGGTGGAAATGTCTCTTGGAAATGTACCAGACATTTCAGCATCTCCAGTGAAGGAAATGCTAGGATCCTTGGGGAGAAACACCTTATTTCCTTGGCTTTTTTCCTACTGATGGCTCTTAGACCTGACTGCACTGAGAGAGAAGCTGATATTCAAGGTTGGTACCTGGACCACAAGCATAGGTCAAGGAGACAGTTTCATGGGGTTGAACAGTTGGGAATTATAGCTGTCTAAATACGAAGTGGAAGTGAAGCAGCTGCCGTGGGAGCATTTAAAGGGATATTAGCTACAGCAAAGGAGATTGAGAAGGGCAGAGAGGTTGCTGAGGACTTAAGTCAGGATTATTCTAAGGCAATTTGTGCTGTGGTGCTCCTCGGACGCTGCTCTGTGTGGCCACTGTGTGTGGGGGGGTTATAATGGTTATTTTCTGTCTCTTGTCATCAGTTTGTACAGTATAAACTTCAGTGTGTCACCATTTGTTTATCCTTCCTAGGTATCAAAACTGTGTTTGCAGGATCTAGCTGCAACGACATCGTATGCACTGAGCAGTGTGTCATGAGTGGACACTTTGATAAGAAAATTCGATTCTGGGACATCAGGTAAAAGGATTGTAAGAGCTTATAGCGTAGGAATAGTTATGGGATCGCTCTCTGAGTTTGGTCTGCACTAGGGAACTTCTCTTCCTGAGCTTGGAAGCTGATTGGGCTGTTGTAAAGACTCAGTATGTGAGAATGAGCCAGTAATCCTTGTTCTCCTCCCACGTTAGGACAGGTCCAAGTTTTGATGCAGCAGTTTGGCTTCTGCACCTGGGTTTATTCTTTTTCCTTTCCATGTTTGTTTTTCCTTAGGACTGAAAGCATAGTGAAAGAGCTGGAGCTGCTCGGGAGAATCACAGCTCTGGACCTGAACTCGGAGCGAACGGAGCTCCTGACGTGCTCCCGCGATGATCTGCTGAAGATCGTCGACCTGCGAGTCGCTGCCGTCAAGCAGACGTTCAGGTGAGGGTGCTCCCCACAGGAACATCGGGAATTTCACCACTTTGGGTTGTGGATTGTCCTCAGTGTTGGGGTGGTTTGAAGTATCCCCATGGAGACAGCAGTCTCCTAACGTTTTCTTCTACATGGGTACCAGATTTCTTTAACAACCAAGATCTGCTCTGGTGGATCTCTTCATTTGTCTCTTTAAAGAAGGCAGCTTGGCTTACAAGTCTTTGGCCTAAAGGAAGGGTGGTTTTTTGGATGTGATTGAGGGGAGGGTGTACAGGAAATGCAAATTGTGATCTGGGGATACTGGAGCTTATTCTGAACCACGTAGAAATCCCTACCACGCTCTTTGTAAGTCCATCTTGTAAGTGAATTCACAGTTACCTGCTTCTGTCTTTTCAGTGCCCAGGGATTCAAATGTGGCTCTGACTGGACGAGAGTTGTGTTCAGGTAATGTCAGATATAAGCAAGATGCCTGATCAGTCTGTCCCCAGCAGAACTTGGGATTTGTGATGCTTGGCTGCACTGTCCCCATGTACAGCTAGAAAACCTGAGACAGAGTGTGTGACTTGCCCGAGGTTTCATCTTGGTTAAGAGGAAATCTACGGATGTTGATCCAATGTCTTAGATGCTCTCTGATTTCAAAGTGCTTACACTTCTTAACTCTTTAAAGACTATTTAATGCCAAGTTGCTTGCTTAGGAAGTTGTGAGTGGAATGGTAGTGTGTGCTGATAAATTGCTGACCTGAAAATTGTTCTCTGCCTTCTGCGCCCTCTCTGACCTCCTAGCCCTGACGGTAACTATGTGGCTGCTGGCTCAGCTGATGGGGCCCTCTACATTTGGAATGTGCTCACTGGGAAATTGGAGAGGACGCTTGCAAAGCATCACAGGTGAGGGGAAGCTGGCCACGTAATCTGGGTTATGAATCTTGCTGAGCTATGGAAGAATTGTAGTCAGACAGCTCTGCAGCTTCTGTTGGTGTGTGGGGATTCTTAATGCCCAGATACTTTGTGGATTCATGGTGGTATTGATTGAAATAAGGTTGGGTGTGTTACTGTTCACTTCTTTAACTGAGATACGATTCTAATAAGGTACATTTAATATATTCAGAAGAAGCTGTATCTCTTAGGCTTATTAGAAGCAGGAGCCCCTCGAGAGTTGAGCAAGTGCTTTCTCTGACAGTCAGTACTAGAATGTTTCATTCCAGTGGTCAGGGCTATTGTGGAATTCAGCTCTTTTGTAAACTTACGCCTGGCTCTGTTTCAGTTCTCCTATCAATGCAGTGGCGTGGTCACCAGCGGGTGCCCACGTGGTCAGCGTGGACAAAGGAAACAAGGCTGTGCTGTGGTCTGAATTCTGACTGGATGGAGGGTGAAGCGCGGAGCGTCCAGCGCCTCTGTGTGGTGGTGCTGGTCCGTGGCTGAACAGAACGGAGACCCGAGCCCAGATCCATCCCGAGCGAGGATATTATCAAGTGCACGGGCTTCCCTTTCCAGAGGAAAGTTCTAAAGCAATGGAGAAGGAGCCCGAGTCAGAGACTTCCTATGGCCGTAACTGCACTGTGGCACTTGGACTCGGCAAGGGATCGGCTGCTCTGGATGGAGAGTGCCACTCGGCCATGCCTTTACACGCAGTGTCTGTGCGCCAAGCGGAGCTGAAGATACTGGCGGGATTCCTCACCAGACAGCTGTGCCAAATACCCTGTCACATAAATGTATCTGCAGCACTTCTGAGTTGGAAATGTTGGGAAGAAAGAGGTTACTGTGTATGCTGACTTAATCCGTGTCCTGTCTCCTGTGTTGGGTTCTCGTGGCCTAGTTTCAGGCATGGGGTGAGAAGGGCCCGAAGCGTGGCCGGGTCCTAGGCGGTCTGAAGGGTTGGAGCAGCCTTGGAGCAGCCTCCTGTGGCTCTGGCAGCTCTGCCTTTGGGTGATCAGCTCAATTCAGATCTGCTCTGATCCCGACACAGGTTCTGCAGCACTGTCATGTGAACTTTTTGTATCCGTTTCACCTGTCCTTAGGGAAATGGTCCGTTCTTTGGGACTTCTGCACCCCTCAGCCGCGTGGGTATCGCAAAACAGGAGATTTTTAATCTTTCTGTTCTACAGGCGGTTTGGTTCCTGGGTGTGAGGAGAGAAGTTCAGCTGCTGTGCTGAGGGATGTCGTGGATATACCCGTGGTCGGTCCCGTTTTCCGTTCATCCGTCCTGTCCTGGCGGCTGTCAGTAGAGCACAGGGGAGCAGTGGGCTCAATCCCAAACCCGTTGTTTTGGTGCTGACAATTGCAGGCCACTTGCCCCCTTCTCGAGCACACGTGCAATATCCCTGTCCGCGCTGGAGCCCTTTCCTTGCTGTGGAGCAGCACCTGCTCTGTCACTGTCTGAGCATCCAAATCCGTGATGTGGCGTAACTTTATCAGCCAAACCTTCCCACATCGTCTGGGCCTCGAGACAAGCCACCAGCGTTTTATTGCCTTTTATTTGCACTTTTTCTTCTTTTCCTCGTGGTGTTTTACTAAGGAAGCGTGTTCTTCGGAGGGGCTGGGTTAGGGGGCAGCTGCTGTAGCAGGCATCTCTCTGCCCTGCCCTTATGCTCAGACACTTTCTGCAGAGGGGAATGAGAGTATACGGGGCAAAGTTTTTATTTATTCAGCTGCCCGTAAGAACTTGACTGTAAATAAACCTACGTTCTGCTTTTAAAACCCCACAACGCTCCGCTTCACTTCTTTGTGTCCGTGTGTAAGATCCTGTTCTGAGTGAGCCCAGAGGGGACCCTGAGAGGTGTTTTTCTGTGCTGTTTCCTATTGTTTTCCTGAGGAGTTGTGGATTTGGGCTCAGCCGCATTGTGGGATTTGGTATGGAGGGGAAAGAGGATAATGCTCTTAGCGTGAAGCTGGGCAGCAGCAGATAGAACCTGGTCTCACTGCGTTGAACAAGTGTCTCTATCCTTGAGAGGTTGATGGATTCCTGGGTGTTCTGGATAAATAACTGAACTGAGGAAGCTGGTATCTGTATTTCAGACACTGCTGAAAATAGGCAGCTTTTTCTGCTCTGATAACTTGACTACCTTGTGAAATTTTTAACCCAGTAGTAGGAGTTGCACATTGCTTTGAAAACACAGAAACCATGGCTGAAGATGATGCCCTGGTTCCCACTCCAGAGGAACAAAGCAAAGCCTCCAGCTCTTTAATGTACAAGTTTCACACATAACTAAGAGCCATCACTTACCACCTTCCTGTTTGCACGAGAAAATAAGCCTGGCCAGCTCTTGACAGTGAGAACTGCAGCAGACATGACAAGTTTCCCATTGGCATTCTGAAGCATTGCTAAAAACAAGGTACTTGTCTTCTGCCTTCTTGCAAAGGCCCCTAGCGCCAGTCCAGGTGCCCTTGGTTACTGCAGAAAAGCAGATCACTCAATGACGAATCAGCACGGTGAAAGATTACGGGGAGATTAATGTCATAAAAGGTCTGCAGAGGTGGATCAGAATGGGCTTAGGATGTTGATGATTCGGGCTGCTGTACTCGTGGTTTTCTGCAGCACAAAAGGCTTTGTTTTTGCCCATTGATGCTGTTGGGAAGTAGGTTAATAATACTTGAGGATAAGGGCTGGCTAGCTAAGACCTTAAGCATTTTAGATTAAAATTCCTTAGGTTGAAGGTATGTAGGAAATGCTAGTGGCCAATCTTGGCGCTTTTTGGCTATAGTTTATTTCCTGCTTGACCTTTTCTGCAGGGAGAAGAGGAAAGGAAGGTCCCCGCTGTGCAGGGGTGGCTGCTGCAGTGTCTCTGCTGAAGGTGGAGCTGCCTGCAGGTGCTTTAGGGTGGCAGGGGGGATCTTCTCTGGCCATGAGGCCGCATTGGGTAGCGTGTGTTACCAAAAAGCTGCTGCCAGCTCCTCTGGAGAGGTTTGCAATGTGCAAAACCTCCCTGGCCCTCAGGAACAGCAAGTGTGAGAAATGCTCCTTTCTCTCCTGGAGGAGAAATCACCCTGTGTGTAAACTCCTGACCAACATCAGCTTTCTCCTTGCTGCTTTTCTGCTGTGTGACTGAACAGAACGTGTTGGTTTTGTGGGTTAACTCCTAGGGTCTCTTCCCTACTCCCTACCACCGGGGTCTGGCTCTCCTTCAGGAGCACAGGCACATGTGGGTCTGGGCTTGAGCCTGGGTTGTGTTTGCTGGAGTTGATTAAACACACTGGTGATTAGGCTCTCCAAATAATCCACCTCCGGTTAATAAAATGTTGCTGGAATTGGGAAAACACTGGAAGAGCTGAGGAACACTGGGTTTATCTTCATCTTTTTGGAATAACTGGTGTACCCAGGCCGCTGTATTCAGGCCAGCGGTGGTGGTGGTTTGTGAAAAGCCAGCGTGATTGGTGACTGCAATGGCGAGTGGAGGGGATGCCCTGGGATCTGAAACCAAACCAACAGCTGCAGAGCAGAGGAAAGCTACAGCAGTTTGTGCAGCTTGCCAGCCAAAAATTACAGACGTTGTCATGCATAACATCATGACCAAATTCATGGGGAGCAGGGGGGAGAGAGGGAAAGCTGTTCCTGGGACATTGATGGGCAGAAAAGCTAAACTGAAATCCTGTTTGTGTGTCTTACATCGTGGGTGTTGTGCCTCAGTTTTGTCGGTAGATTAGGGAGGGGAGGTGTACCAGCCAGCAACACTGGTCTGCATCAGCACGCCAATGGGATGTTGGTGCAGCAATGAGCTGCGCAGTGATTATGGGGAGAGAACACCGTGCTCAGGGTTTGACAGTCCTCCATCTCTTTATAGAGACTCGGTGTGGGGTTCTAGAAACTCCCTTTCTCATGCACGGCTCTTGTCTGTTCAGCTTCTTATCAGGCTGGATAGCTTGCGACCCTAGGAAGGAGAAGAGAGAGAAGGAGCTTTAGCATAAAGCAGCTTTCAGTGGCCATCCTGTTGGGTGTAAGCCCGCAGTCCCTGCAGAGCAGGTGGGTATGACATTGTGGGCCTCTTCCCTGGCGATCCGAGCCGCCTTAGGTAACGCGTTGTGCTGCTGACTGCGCCGCTTTCCGCTTGAATCCTAGCCCAGGTACAGCGTTTGCTCCTGGAGAGGGATTAATTCCTGAAATCCTGCGTGGACGCAACCGGAGACGCGCGTTCAAATCCCCTACAAATTGTGCTCCTTGTCTGCAAGGAGGTTGCTGATTCCCTCTGCTAGATGTGAAGAAGCGCAGGACACGGCTGCGGGGAAAACTCGTCTGTCTGCGGCAATTTAAGGGCTCCCGTCTTCGTCCCGTGGCGGCTCCGGTGGCGTGTGGAACACAGCAAGGTATTTACTGTTATTTGCCGGTTGGTTGGTTTGTTTGTTTGTAGGGTGTCTGGCCAGCAACAAATACTATTCTGGGCTTGGAAAACCCACCTAGAGTTCATTAAAATAAACATTTTTAAACACGGGCAAAGTCTGTCTCTAATCTCTACCTCACTTTTATTTCCAGCTATCTAAATTGGGAAAAACTTCCTTTTCCCGCAGTCTGTTGTGTGCAAATGGGCCCGAGAAACAGTTTTAAAATGGGAAAGCAAGCAGAAAACTAGGATGGATGTGAACTGCAAGGACAGCCACACGCTGTCAGACCCACAGCCTGACAGCGGGCACCCATTCACGTAGGTCCAAACGAGAAGTGTAGGAGCAGGGACGTGCAGCACCGTCCCTTCCCGATGCTGCTCCTTGCTCCAGAGCCACAGGTTTAAGGCTGTGCCTGGCACATCCCCTTCGACGTCAGCCAAAAGCTTTTTCCTTGTGGACACGTCTCATCCTACGAATCAAGTCACAGCGGTGATTTCCAGACCCACTGTCATTCTGCATCTTGTGGTGTTTGGGGAAATGCTTCATTGTGAACTTGCCGTCTGGTCTCTTAGTTAGACGCTGCTGGTTTGTGACTTGGGACGAGGCGGAGAAGCGGTCCCCATGAGGAATCTGACTCCGTCTGTTGCTTCCCTTGTTTTCCCTGGCTGTCACCTTTCGGGGCAGGTGGCTGGGCTGTTCTGTTCTGAAGGTCCATTCTGGTTTGGGTTCAGTTGTACCCTGCACGTAGTGGGTTGCATCTGGTGCCGATTTAGGAAAACGCAGCGGGAGACGTGGACGCTCATTTCTGGTTTGCTCTGACTCCTAATCCATACTGTTCTTGGTTTATTTCCTAATAACTTCTCTGCTCATGTCAAGGCATTCATCTGAAGTGCTAACAAGTATAACTGCACATCAGACTCTTGCTGTGTTGTCTGAGGGCAATGCTCTTCACGTGCTGTATTTCATCACCGACCCCATCTGCATCATGAGGCACTCCTCCAGCTTCACACAGCCAGCCTGATTCTGGGGATGCAGGATGGCTGTGTGTCTGTGGGCAGCCTGTTCGCTCCTTAGCCAGGCTTCTGCACCTGCGCTGTCGTGTACTGACTGTGAGAAAAACCCCAGACCAAACCCCCAGGTTCCCCAAAGCCTCTCTGTATTGATATTCTTTATTTCCTGTATCTTATCCCATCATTGAGTGAGATGACCTTCCTTCTTATAGCAGTTTAGAGCCTCTGCTGACGAATCATGGGGCCCTTCTGACAAGGGAAGTACCTTGTGTTGGCCAGGTTACCTTTGTCTGTAATCTTACAGGTTCCTTCGCTAAATTACTTCTCTGCAGAGGCCAAGCTATCCCTTCCTCTCCAGGTTTTTCTATTAGTCCAGTAACTTTTCAGTATTAGTTTAAAAGAGCTCTTGGTCTTTTGTAATGTTTCTGAAAAGCCACTTTTAAATGGATGGTTTTTATGTTAGTTTTTTTTTAAGACGACCTGCTGAAATGAAAAGAAACCCACCTGTGCTGCGCCTGAATGTCTATTGAAACAGCCTTTGGTAAACTGTGCATGGGAACGGAGTGCTTGACTCAGTGTCATTCTACTTCTGCCTCATCCTGATCTCTTTCCCAGGCCCTTTTGGAGCAGAAAAGGTCACCATCACCTTCGGCCATGAGCTGCCCTGAGTCCCAAAAGACAGGACCCAGTGGGAAGGACGCAGGCTCTCAACACGTGGTCTACAGAAAGAGCACCCGGGACAAAGCTGTGAGTGCCGAAAAAACGGCTCTGCTTGGGTGTGAGTTGTACCTGCAGGCAGACAGGAGATTCTTAGAAAGCTCTTTCCCATCCCCTTCATCTTCTTCTTAAGGATGATGAGCTGTATTTAGCGCTAAGTTTGAGGAGATAACGTAAACAGCTTATGGGACGTGTTTCTCGTGTCCTGTGGTACAAGAGGAAGGCAGCTCTCACTTTGGGCTGTGCCCCTGCTGGTAAATGTTTAAAATGAAGCTGGTTCATTATCTTGTTGACCTGATGGCACCAAAACCCTGCACATCTGTAGTTCTTTGTCCCGTGCACAAGTGTTGATGCTGTACTTTTGGGAGCTAGTCTGCATCGCATCTTCAGTCCTGATGTCCTGGAGCATGTGAATAATGCTGTTGAGGATTGCACGTTTGCCGGGGAAAAATAACCCCAAAAAATAATTTAAAGTAGAATCGTTCTGTTCCCTACAACACTGAGAGCTCTCTGCTATAGCTCTGTCCCCACCCCAGCACACTTTAACACTGCAGTACCATCATGGCCATCTTCTCCCCACAGCTGACCATCTATCTGGGAAAGCGGGACTACATCGACAACGCAGGGGATGTGGAACCCGTCGGTAAGTCCATAAATACACACTGCCCTTGCTGCTCTCGCAGCCCTGATTATCCTCTGCTAATCACTTTTATTTCTTCCTTTCTCTCAGATGGTGTTGTACTGGTGGATCCTGCAATTATCAAAGGGAAAGAAGGTTGGAGGTTTTATGCAATACCAGCTGAGAACGTTGGGGCTGCTCAGCCTGGAGGAGAGAAGGCTCTGGGGGGACCTGATTGCAGCCTTCCAGGACCTGAAGGGTCCTACAGGAAAGCTGGGGAGGGACTGTTTACAAGGGCAGGTAGTGATAGAATGACGGGAATGTTTTAAACTGGAAGAGGGGAGATTTAGACTGGATACAAGGAAGAAATTATTGACTATGAGGTGGTGAGGCCCTGGCCCAGGGTGCCCAGAGAAGCTGTGGGTGCCCCCTCCCTGGCAGTGCCCAAGGCCAGGTTGGACGGGGCTTGGAGCAGCCTGGGCTGGGGGAGGTGTCCCTGCCCATGGGGGTTGGACTGGGGGGGTTTGGGGTCCCTTCAACCCAAACCATGCTGTGATTCTATGATGTGTTCCATAGGTTTCTCTTTTGAAGTGAGATGCTGTTATTTTAAGGGTACAAATGCACCTCCTTTCCTCAGTGAATGGGCTTCTTACTCAGTGTAATGTATGTTCTTACGTGTGGTATGAATACTGACTGGGTTTCCCTGGCTCTGTAGAGCAGGAGGACTTTACATCCGCCCGGCTGCCTTGTTAGCCTGCTGCATGCTTTAACATTCACGTGCTTCCTTCCAGTGTACGTGTCCCTGACCTGTGCGTTTCGGTACGGCCGGGAAGACATCGACGTGATGGGCCTCACCTTCCGCAGGGACCTGTACTTCTCTAGGGTCCAGGTGTACCCTCCTGCTGACAAGCCAGACTCGCTCTCCCACTTGCAGGAATCTCTGCTAAAGAAGCTGGGGAAAAACGCTTACCCCTTTTTCTTTACGGTCGGTGTCTCCCAAGAGCCTCTGACTCTCCTTGTCTCTTCTTACCAGGCTGCTGAGATGTGGTGATAGACTAAAGACAGGGATTCATAGTGAATTCATGGTATGCAAAGTTCCAGATGTGAATGATGGGCAATGTACAGTTTATTTTTCCTCACCATCCTAAGTGGTAAAGTGCAAGAGGATCCCAACTGCACGTGAAAAGTGCTTTCCTAGGAAAGGCAAGGAAGCGTGCAATGGCTTTATGCCAGCAGCAGTCCCATACATCCCTCTCTGCCCCGTTCCTGTGGGGCTGGGATACATTATACCAGTGCTCCAGTGCTTGCAGAGGAAGTGCCAAATCCTTTCTCTTTAAAAAGGTTATGGATCAAACCAGTGGATGAAAAGCTTTTTGCCAGGTGTAGGCAACAAATAACGGCTCATTGTCAACTTCTGATTCTGAGAGGATGTGCCTCCAGTATGGTCACTGCCTTAGCATTCCCTGGGACAGTCTGGGTTTGAAAACCATGTGCTCTGATATAGCAACAAGTAAGGCCCTGAATGATCAGCTGGGGAGGGACTTTTTACAAGGGCAGGTAGCGACAGAGTGAGGGGAATGTTTTAAACTGGAAGAGGGCAGATTTAGACTGGATATTAGGAGGAAATTCTTGACTGTGAGGTGGTGAGGCCCTGGCCCAGGGTGCCCAGAGAAGCTGTGGGTGCCCCCTCCCTGGCAGTGCCCAAGGCCAGGTTGGACGGGGCTTAGAGCAGCCTGGGCTGGTGGAGGTGTCCCAGCCCATGGGGGTTGGGCTGGGGGGGTTTGGGGTCCCTTCCAACCCAAACCATTCTATGATTCTGCTAAACAGGTTGGTACCTTCCATAACACAACCTAGTGAGCTTCAATCTGCTGGGACCTCTCCTGGGGTGTTGGGGTCTCCATGAGCTGCTCAGAAGCCTTCCCGGTTGCAGTCTCTGGAGCTGGTGACCCTGCCCAGACATGAATGGCCCCTGGCTGGCAGCTGGTGCTCCTCACGGCCTCCGCTGTGCTCCTGACAGGGATGCTTTGCTCGAGCTTCAAGCCCCTGTGAGCAGTGCTGCTGTGAGCTGTGTCGATAACCCTGGGTGGGCTGCCAGATGTTCCAGCTGCTGCTCTAAGCTGTGCCTCCACCACTCTGGTTTTTAAATGGGTGCTTCGTGTGCCTGGACTTGTTTTACTTTTTCTCTCTTTTTTTTTTCCCCTTTTCCTTTCTCTCCTTGGCTATTGAAGTATTTTTGAAAGAGAGGGATCTGTTTATCCAAGCAAGATAAAGTCCAGCGTATTAAGGCCCCTATCTTAGCCAAAACTTCAAAGGGTTATTGCATTACAGACCTGTTGTCTCCAGCATTGCTTTGTATCTTTTCTGAACAATAAGTTATTTAGAGTATGGCAGAGTTGGAAATCTTTGTGGTATTGATTTGGGGTATTTTGTTCTCTCTTTGCTCCTACAGTTTCCAGATTACCTGCCGTGTTCGGTCTGTCTGCAGCCTGCACCTCATGACATTGATAAGGTGAGACCAATGCGACACTCATGCTTATCACAGTTGAGGAAAGTCATACAGGAAGTCATGCAGCCTTACCCGGCCAGCTTGAGAGTGGAATAAGGTAATACTGGGGTTTACTGTGCCATGCCACTAAGGTCAGGAGCCTGACTGAGGAGCTACAAGTGTGTCATGCAGCTGGAATTATGTCCTCAGAACGAGAATCCAGTCAGAGAGCAGCACTACATCTGCAATGCTCGTCGTTTCCTTAAGGGAACCACATGGTTTGTGGGTTTGCTGCACAGAAAATGATGGTAGCTGGCAGGCTGCCGGAGAGAAAAGGAGGCAGAGTGCCTAAGATCTCCTAGATCAGTGTGAAGATCTCTGAGTCTGTGAAAACAAGCACAGAGCAGGGCAGGCTTGCACATGTGTGTAAACCAAAACCAAAAACCCCGGAGGAAAAGTCACCAGATAATGAGACGTTTGGTTTCTGACACCGTTTAAAACATTACTGTTATACTTCACTGGACGTTTCTGCAAACAGCTGAGCTAGACCGACAGCCGGGCAAGATGGGTGCAGGCTGTAGAAGCCAGCACCTCAAGGATCAACTGTTTTGGCCAAGGATTGATACGGCAGGAGGAATTCCCACATTGCTCTGTAGAGCTACCTGGGACTTGCACAGATGTCCCATGGGGTACAAACCTCTTAAAGCAAAGGTCAGCTCGCCCTGATCGCTCCTCGGATGCTGGGGAGTAAGGAGGCTGACCCTGAGTCAGGTGTTGGCATTACAAACCCCATTGAGAAATGCAGTTCAGAAACCCAGGGTGGAGTGGAGAGCCCTGCAGGCCGGTCACACTGATCACCTGCAGCGTGCTGTGACCTCTGCAGCACAGAAAGCCTTGGAGGAGCAGGGATGTCATCTGCCACAGGCTGGGAATTCAGCCTCACTTCTTGGGAGCAGCGTGGAGCCGGTGGACGCTGCCACAGCAGCTGGCAGGGCTCTCTGATAGGGTGGAAGGAGGCCAGAAGAATTTGTGGTTGGCACAAATCTGGTGTGCAGAAAGAAACCTAAACATCTGCAGGTGTTCTTGGCTTCTGACACGGGTTTCATAGCTGTCTTCTCTCTGGCAGACCTGCGGGGTGGACTTCGAGGTGAAAGCTTTCTCAACGGAGAATGTGGAGGAGAGGATTCGTAAGAGGTAACAGAACCTGTGTGTGTGTGTCTGTGTGTGTGTGTGTCTGTGTGTGTGTGTGGCTTCAACTTGGCCCCTTAAAGGGCGCGGGTGGTTCAGTCATGCTCCTTGGTTGATCGGATTTGCCCCACTTGCAGTTGGGTTTCTTGGGTGTAAGCACGTGGCAGTGCAGGGCTCCAAGTACCACCACGCTGTGCTCTGCTGCTTCCCAGGGACTCCACGCGTTTGCTGATCCGGAAGGTGCAGTACGCTCCGGAAAAGCCAGGACCCCAGCCCTGTGCAGAGACCACCTGGCAGTTCTTCATGTCCAACAAACCGTTGCACTTGAAAGCTTCCCTCAGTAAAGAGGTGAGGAGTTTGCCCTGGGGATGTGGACATCACAGTTACTGGCATGCCAATGTATGTTTTGTTGCCCAAAACAGCTATTTCTTGTCTTACTCAGACTGTCTCAGCTGAGACAGACTTTTCCCAATGCTCAAAGGCTCTAATGTGATTTCTGTTGGGGGTCACTGCTGGGGGAGGCTGACACCCTGCTACAAGGTGCATTTGAGGCTAAATAAGTCACTGAAGGAAGGGTCATCTTGCCTTGCCTGGCCTCTGCAAGGAGATTTAATCTGGGGGGACTAAAGGGGTTTAGGGCTTGGGAAAAGAAGCCTCCTGGCTGGATTTCTGAGCATCAAATCCCTTCTAGATGTACTACCACGGTGAGCCCATCCCTGTCACCGTCACCGTCGACAACAGCACCGATAAAGCAGTGAAGAAGATCAAAGTCCAGGGTATGTTTTTACAGTTGCTTAGGATGCTTTGAGGGCTGGAAGACCAGATGGTGGGAGGACTGAAAAAGAGCCAGGATTTAGTGCTTGCAGCAGCTTAACAGGCAGGAATTTGTCCCTCCACCCTGCCTGTTGCCATTTCTTTGCTGCTCATCAAGCAAAACACTGCAGCCTTTTTCCTGACTCTCATGGTTACTCATAAGGCTTAATTTTGGGCCCCAGTCTGTCTCCTGTAGTAAAGGGAAAGGGGCTGGCACCTGCAGGCGCTGTGGGAAAAACTGGACCATTCTGGGAGGCTGGTGGGAAGGGCTGCCCTGTCAACGTGACGGTCCTGCTAACTGTGACTGTGCCTGGGGTTTCAGCAACACCCGAAGCGGCCGCTCTGCCAGCGATGGTGTAACCCAGGGCAAGGTCGAGTGTGTGCCTGTGTTTTATCTGCAGTACTGCCTGGTTTTGTCCCACAAGCCCCATTGCGCTTGGACTTGTGGAAGACGGCCTGAGAAAGAGGAGACAAAGCAGGGAGGGATTGAGGTTGCCGAGGTTTTTACAAAACTATGTCACAGAGCCGATTTAGTGCCAGTCTTGGATGCACCGTCTAGGGATTCCCAAATATTTTTAGCCTGATGCGCCTCTGTTAGGCTCAAAAATACCTCGTTGATCCCCAGACCCTCTCCTCATCGGTTTTCAGTCAGAATTACTCTGGGTTTTTGACTTTTGATTGAAGAATAGAAGCCATTTATTATCACAGATGCTTGGCTGCATTTTGGTATCCAGTGTGCTCAGTGCCTCCTAAATGGAAATGGATGGGCTATAGATACACAAGAGATACCAGCTACCAGGGATAAAAGCAAACACACTTAGAGAAGAAAGAGAGAGGTCTTTGTGATGGAAAAAGCAGGCTCCCAAGGGAAACTGGGTCACTGGCGTTGTCATCTCCAAATCAAGGCTGGCTGCCTTTCAGGGCAAATGGGCTTTGGCCACTTGTGCCGTTGGTCTTTATCCAGGTCAGGCCGTCTGACCCTTCAGGCTCTACATGGGTGGGTTTTCCTCCTGAGACTTGGGATGGGGTAGTGGTGTTGTTTCTGATGTGTGCGCACCACTGATGGTCTGCTTTCTCCTTTCTCAGTGGAGCAGGTTGCCAATGTGGTTTTGTACTCCAGCGACTACTACACCAAAGTGATAGCGGCTGAGGAAGTGCAGTGAGTGAACGCTCTGCTCATCCCTTCGTGCTCCTTCACACCCTCTCAGTTACCCTTCTCCTCAGCAATGGGAGGCACGCCGAGCTGTAGCCTGGTGGTTTCCTCTCTCCTCTTCCCTCACGTGTGTGTCCCCCCACACCACCCATGCTCTCTGAATGCAGCTGATCTCCTTTTCACATAGCATAGCCCTACACTTTTTTCCAGAGGATGGGGAGGCTGCAGAACAGGTTTAAAGAGTAATTACCACTAGGAAAACACAGCAGGGGCTGTGGAAGGCTTTCCATGACTTGACATCTTTAAATAGAGATGCCAAATTTTAGAGCACCCTTGACTTCCACTTCATGAGGTCGGTCCTTTTCACACCGTTTCACTTGGCTGCTTCTGGCCTTAGGAAGCCCATGAAAACCTTGAGCCTGTTGATGTTGTGGAGAACCACTTGCTCTTTTGCACTGCACTGCTGTGGTAGTGCAGCACTGAACTTTGCTTTGTGAGGAGGGTTGGACACAGCCAGACACTTGATACTGCTCTGGTGTTTTGCTCTGGAGCTCAGGGCCATGTTTTCCATTGAGTCCACAGTCTTCTCAGCTAGGATTCATGTGATCCAAACTTGGAGGTCTGCGGTGTAGTTTAGAAGTCTGCCTTAATGGGAAATTAATCATCCTCTCTGCTATTATAGGGGAATTTTTACTACCTTAGGTGTAGACATCTGCATTGCAGACAACTACATTGGGACAGATCAATCCCACTCCTTTTGGACGGCTTTGTGATCTGTTTTGAAGCTCTCTTGGTTGGATATAACTTTCCTGCTCTCACCCAGGGAGAAGGTGCAGCCGAACAGCAGCCTGACCAAGACACTGACGCTTTTACCCTTGCTGGCAAATAACCGGGAGACGCGGGAAATCGCTCTGGATGGAAAGCTAAAGGATGAGGACACCAACCTGGCTTCCAGTACCATGTGAGTAGAGTTCTAACTGATCCCAGGCAGTGGAGCATTAGAAAGAAGAGGGGAGGATGAAGGGAACGCTTCTAGCAGGAGTTTGTACCTG